TATCACAAAAGTAGAATAAAAAATTCATTCAATTTAAAAATTTGGTGGTCAAATATCACAAAAAGCTCATCACATTTATTTTCTTTTTCTTTATTACTTTTTATTCAATATACAACAAGTTTTATTTCCAAATAATGTTTCCAAAATTACTGTTTTCACTTGAAAATTAGCTTTAGAATCAACACTTACAGAAAATTGTAGAATTAAAAGAAAAAACTGATTTTTTTGTAACAAAGAATTTGGAAGCTAAAATTTGATATTTTTCAATACATTTTAGTTTATCAACTGTCTAGAGTTACAAATGGAATATCAAACAACGAAATATAAATAAGAAATCTGAAACTTAATCTTCAATCATTACAATCATTGAGTATTTATTGCAAAAACTATTCTATGTCTATAATTTGTCAAAGTGAATAACATGTCAAAAAAATATTTTAACCTATCATATTGAATACTTGTCTAAAAATTCATTTTATGCTCAAATAGAACTAATATAGAAAATTTATATTAATTTTTTAAATATGTAAACTATCATAAAATTTAATTTCATGAAATGTATATAATATTCTAGTTACTCCCTGTTTACTCCTTTTCAAAAATTATCTCCGAAGAACAAATCATCTGTGATTATGTTTGAATCATAAACTGTATTCAAAAATTTATGAACTCATTATAGATCAACTTTTTTGCAACATATAAAAAATTTGATCTCCAAGCTAGCTATCATTTATATATACTTCATAAGATTTTATTCCTTGTTTATCATGAATCTAGAGCTTCATGTTACGTCCAAATGTTCTAGCCAAACAAACTTCTGCACATTGTTTGCACTCAAAATTTAATATAATATTTCATAATTGATAAAATATACTTCAAAAATATTTTTTCATTAATAAAATAAGTCTTCACTCAAGTTTTTTCAGAATTTTGCTTAGAAATAAATGTTACATAAAATATATATATCAATAAAAAAATTATTGTGATATCTAATAATAATTTTTTATATCTATTAAATAATACAGTAAGCCTGTTAAAAATTTATTATGATATCTACACCCTAAACCCCACCCATAATTATACTTATTTATTGCTATTATATTTATTTGCTCTGAATTCTTGAGTCAATAAATAAGTACTCTTGCACATAAGTATAATAATTTATACATGATGATTGTGTCAAGAACATATGCTTGATATATCTATGTGCATGACAATCTATGCTTGATATATCTATTGTGAAGCAAGGTACAGTGAATAGTTGTACGAGTTGAAATAATTCCTAACTTGCGACTATATTATGTGACCAAAAAACATATGGATGATCAGATTCGGAGTACAATCTTAAGTTAACTCAGTTTTGCTGGTTCTATTATAGTTAAAAAAACTGGAAGATGATGTTATTTTATAACGAAAGACACTTGCGACACAGTGAGAGTTTGAACCAACTTCTCAGGCGGAGTGGATTCCCCGGAATAAGACTCAAATGATCTCGCGTACCAAGTTTAGTGACACTAAATAGCTCTAGTATCAATATTCCTCCCCCTCTAGAATTAAGCATGTCATATACTATTGACGATAAAAAGAAAATGTAAATATAGCTATGTATGCGATTTATGCAAAGGGCAAAGAGATTTGAAAACTATATCATCAAAAAGTACGCTAAGATGACTTCTGAATACATTCGACATATTTTAAGATATCCGTTGAGGATAAGATATGTACGAGAAACTTAACTTGCTTTCAGAGTTATAGGGTTAGGAACCTTCTGGCACTTATACATTCAATGTGAGTAGCTAGCGAGCTCCGAGAGCTGTTGAACGCTACTCAAATGGGCACCTAAGCTGAAATTGAAAAGAAGAAGAGCGATACAAATGCTTATATGTCTCGTTTAGCATCAACCTTTCTTTCAGAACCTGTGTCATATCTTCATATCACTCTAAATTTCTGGAAACAAAAGAATTGAGGGCTCAAAATGAGATGTAATAAAATTTTCTACAAAAACGGTTTTCCTGCTCTGAAAACGGTGAAAGAAATTTCGTCCAACTTCCAATCGAACACGCATTGATTGACTCGATATGTTAATTTATGTACAAAGGGGGATGCATGGACTTCTTGAAAACGATTTCACAAAGAATTAATCATATCATATGCGAAGCACATGAAGTACTCGAGTGGGCTTCCCCGGAATAATCACGGCCAAAATTCCCAGCCAAGAAAATGACGAAAGGTCATGAAATATGATGACGGGCAGGCTGCGGTAGCGAAAGAGGTGAGGACCGGCGTGCCAGGACAAGGCCGGTTGCACAGTGAGGAGGAATCACATCTGAGCAAACCCCGCGGAGATCCGCGTTGCAGCGCATCGAGCGCGCATGAGCCACACCTTCCCACCACCGGGTTCTCTTGCTCTCGCTCGCGCCTATTCTGAGAGAACAACGCCGAGACCATAGTCGCTCGGAATCGTGCAGCAAGCCTACGTGCGTGCGTGACCCGGACCGAACTATGCGTGGCATGGGAAAGCCCCCGAAACTCGCTGCGAAGCACGCACGCCCGCACGCACGCAGTGAGTATGGGAGAACCACGGTAGGCTCATTGTAACGTTGCCATTATCGTCTCACTCCAGGCTCCAAGAACCTGTTATGAGCGTCGTCGTTAGGTGACCAGCCACGTGGTGCGGTCGGTTTCTTGCGACCAATCAGATCCGTCTTTTCCCTTGTCGGCGGCTATCACTCGCGTCTCCTCCCGTTCTGATTGGGTCCAGCTCGGATGCCTCCTTTGCAACCTCCGCGACTTCCACTTGACCTCGCACCATTACCGACGTGGTTCCGAGCCGAGTGTTGAGACATGATTGGGTTTGGGATCCGGGGCCCACCACGTCGCGAATGTCCTCCGCGTCGTCGTTCCGAGTTCCGGGAGCTCCCCTCTGTACAGTGAGGAACCCAACATTACTAAAGTTACCGAGCATCTGCAACCGGGGAGTCGCCGCCGGATGACACCCACCTCGACGCGATCATGTCCTGGCCGATACTTCCCGCTTCATCCCCAGCGTCTCAGATGTCGCCGCCTCGGGCGCTCCCGTCATGGCCTGCCCGTTCCTTGCTTCCACACCTGCCACGTGTACCCCGACCTGGGGTTGGGTTCCGTAACCTGGGTTGCCGGGGCACTGCTCGCTCCTTGTTTTCATGGACACAATAACCAGGAGGAATCATGATGGACGGAATCGCTGCGAGACAAGAATTCCAAGAATAATGGTCCGATGCAGTGCAGCATGCCAAATTGAGATTGGCAATAGAATCTCGCTTCATAGTCCTCGAGGCGACAGTACAACGAAGTCGGTGCAATAAGTGATGTGAACCTTCCCATAATGTGCAGAGAGTTGTAATGTATGACATCCCTCGAGAGACAAGGTCCTTCGCAGCGGAGAGGAGACAGCCCCGGCACCGCCGCACACGGTCCGCTACGTTCCCCAACCTCGGCTTCGGCCAACCCAGGTGCCAGACCACACGCCGTTCCCGTCGGTCGGACGGTACGACGTCGACTACGCCTGCTTTGCTTGACGGACGGTTCTCGAAGCACATACTTACTGTTAAGTGAGTCTGTGCGTCATCGTGATCCTCGGATTCAACCCTCCAACATCCAGAAAGGGACGCATGGAATAAAACCGCGATGGGAAACCATCAAATGGAGAGAGGCTATTTAATGATAACTGTTCTAATTGCTCTGGCACATAGTTCTCACCACAATTTACCGTGTCACGTTTGTTTGTTTCTTTAACCTTGATGGGTCCTCCCATGAATTTATTAATCCATTTGGCCTCCCCCTTGAATAATAATTGGCTATATCCACTGCCGACTCTTGTTTCGACTGCATGATACTCATAATTTAGTGTGGTTAAACCTTGCAAATGAGCATGCTCGAGAGGGATGGGAAAATGCCTACGACCTTCCCATCATAAGATTATTTACATAAATGGGGAATGTTCTCCATTAGGTTGACATGCACTTGAGTTTGCGATATGCTTTATACCGCTTCTCTCCCAACAGTCATCAGGCGAATAATACTGCATGATAGCTGAAGATAATTTCTCGCAGTTTATTCCAAATACTCCGGATAGGATCCAGTTGATCCAGTTTTAAGGGTCAACCGGATACAAACTCAATCTGATATGAAGACTCTAGCTTTCCTGTTCGAGCCTTTCGAGAAGGAATCCGAGTCCGCAGAAAAGAAGAAAACGAGAAGCATCAGCCGATCAGTGTCTAGGCCATTGAAGGACTCTGGATGAATCTTAGTCCACACTACACCAACATCAGTAAGTTACGTGTATTAAAAGAAGAGTGTACGTCACGTGTATTACTGAGTCCACCCCGATTGAAGAAGAGCATGTATGAACTTCGACCTTTACTGTCGTCACATGCGGAGACGTTTGACCCTGCTGTAGGCAAGCACGACTCACCTTTCAAGCCACTGCGATGACTGGATCCTCTGGTCATGCTCTCTCTCACAGAAAAAACTCCCACACACGGGCGGGGAAATTTCGAGAATATTGGAAGGTTATGGGCGCTGTCACGAGAGACTTCTTCGTCGATACAGTACAGTAACTGCATTTCGTCTTCCTTTCCTGGTCGCACCGTGGGCAATTGGATCCCATAGCTCAGACATTTGGGTCGATGATGCGGTTCAGTCTGTAATCGCAAGTTCTCACTCGGAACTGTTACTGCGAGGTCGGGGATCGGAGATCGGGGCCGTCTCCGGTGGCAAATAATGACGTGACGGGGCACGCCAACGTAAACACATGATGGGTGGATACGACGCGGTAAATTCGTGGCTGGGCCTCGTGAGAAGTTGGTTCGCTCGCTGGTAACTGAAACGAGATGGCGAGTTTCCCTCGAGGCCCACGTAGCCGAGGTCGGGAAGGGGTTGACCGTCGTTAGCCCGTAGCCCGTGGCGCGTGGCCGGCGGCCGACGCAGGAGAGAAGGACGAGGGCGAGAGAGAGAATTTGGGCGAATTCGCGGGGAAAAGGATCGCTGTTGATGTTGCGGGCGTGGGGCGGGGGGCGGGGGGCGAGCAGTGAAGGCGAGAAAGAAGGGAGCGAACGAGAGGAAAATGGAACAGAAGAAGGCGAGCAGGGGACAGCCAGCAGTAGTTGAAGTAGGAGCCTCTGCGACCTGAGCTAGCAGTGCACATCAGCAGCAGCAGCAGCAGTTCGTCTCCGGGTTCTATCTATGTTATGTATCTATCTACCTACCTCCTACCTTCTCGTGTAGACAGTCCGTCCCCAGCACAAAGCAGCAAGGCAAGGCAAGGCAAGCAGCTCAGCTCCTGGGGTAGTATACTGGATTACACACGCATACAGACTAACTGACAGGCATACCGCCACAGTCTGATGGACCGATAGATACGGACGATCTTGACGAGTACTAGCAAGTACCGAGGAGTCGACAAGAGAGAGAGAGGGAGAGAGAGGAGTCAGAGTCACAGGAGTCGTCGAGTGCCAAGAGCAAGGCATGCGGTTGAGGAGCAATTAATTGCAGCGGTGACTCTCGTCGTCAAGCAATAAGCACTTTTTTCTAGAACACAAAGTCTTGGACACAATAGCTATCTAGCATATGAGTACTAGTGTTATTATGTTTACTTTTCCTGCTGCTGCAGAACTCGAGCAGACTCGAGGAGTGGAGTAGTAGTGGTCGTCGTTCGTCGTTCGTCAGTGTGCTGGGTGAGTGAATTGAGGTGTGTTGTTCAATTACTACTGCATGATCGAACCGGAGATCACTGGCACGCTATCGCCTATCTGCGAGATAGGAGTTGCTGAGAGTAGTGATTCAGAAGCAGCAACGATGAAGGATAACTTCAAGAAGGGAGGTGCTGGATCGAGTTCATTCAAGGGCGTCTTTGGAGGATTGAAAGGGCGTCAGGGAGCGAGGAACTTGAATAACTTGAAAATCACATTGCTTTGCGGATTTGTTACAATCCTCGTCCTCAGGGGCACGATCGGAGTTGGCAACCTTGGCTTCCCCGGAGGCAAAGATAACGGAGGAGATGTTCGTGACAGTGCCGAGAAGCATGAACACAAGCGTTCTCTCACGCAGGTACGCACGAACAAATGACTCAGTCTCAGCTTTTCTTTTCGTCCTATTTCTAGACGTGTCACCCTTATTCCTCGCGACCAATCGGGCAATGTCAGATCGTCTGCGCACGCCGACGCACTGACCGCCCTGCATGCATGGCGTCGTTCACCTTCACGTCGACTGGCATTGCGCTGTAACACAGACCCAAAACTCATCGTGACACTTTGCAGCCGAGGGAGAGACAGTCACTGCTTGCCGTACAATTCCAGTGTTGCAAATGCTTGCGTGAAAATGTGGCAGGGGCATCATAGCAGTTTACAATTGTAAGCGAGCCGAGCGTCTGATCAGAATGAACAACATCCAATGTGTGCAGGTAGATGAGAAGAAGATGCATGAGGAGGAAGAGCCCGAGCCCGAGAGTGATCCCAACAAGCCTTACAGCCTTGGACCCGAAATCAAGGACTGGAATGAACAAAGAGCGGAGTGGCTGGAGAAGAATCCGGGCATGAAGTATGCGGCGAACGGCAAGCCTCGCATTCTTCTGGTCACTGGGTCTCAGCCGAAGCCTTGCGACAACCCGGTGGGAGATCACTATCTGCTCAAGTCCATCAAAAATAAGATTGACTACTGTCGGTTGCACAACATCGAGATTTTCTACAACATGGCTCATTTGGACCAAGAAATGGCTGGGTTTTGGGCCAAGCTGCCGCTTCTGCGCAAGCTCATGCTGGCGCATCCCGAGGTCGAATGGATCTGGTGGATGGACTCCGACGCCATGTTCACCGACATGCTGTTCGAACTGCCCATGGACAAGTACAAGGACTTCAACCTGATTCTGCACGGTTGGGACGAGCTGGTCTACAATAAGAAGAACTGGGTCGGTCTCAACACCGGAAGCTTCCTCATGAGGAACAATCAGTGGTCGCTGGATCTTTTGGACATCTGGGCTCCCATGGGTCCCAAGGGCAAGATCAGAGTGGAGGCCGGCAAGGTGCTGACTGCCACTCTGACGGGAAGACCGGAATTCGAGGCCGACGATCAGTCTGCTCTGATCTACTTGCTGGTCACCCGCCAAGCCGAGCTTCAACCGAAGGTGTTCCTGGAGAATTCTTACTATCTGCACGGATATTGGGTCATTCTGGTGGAGAAGTATGAGGAGATGATGGAGAAGTATCATCCAGGCCTGGGAGACGACAGATGGCCATTCGTCACCCATTTCGTGGGCTGCAAGCCTTGCGGAAGCTATGGTGATTACTCTGTGGACCGGTGCCTGAAACAGATGGAGAGGGCGTTCAATTTTGCCGACAACCAGGTTCTGCAACAGTACGGCCTGCAACACAGGGCTCTCGGCACGCCCAAGGTCAAGCGCATCAGGAACGATACTGCCCACCCTCTGGAGGTCCTAGGCAAAAATACCTGGCAGAGCGTTCCCATGATGACGACTTCGACCTTGCCGACGACGTCGACGACTTATTAAGTGGCACAAGGTACGAGTTTCGGATGTCTCGCCGACCCCGTCCAAACGACTGCTGTATGGCTCAACGAAAGAACTCTAGGCCTGACCCGATCGAGAACTTCTGGTTAGTTGGACGTGAACGATTTCAGCAGCCAATTGTCCAATTTTCAACAATTAGCTAGACTAAGTTAGCTTATTCGAATGAATTCTGCAGTGCGTTCCTCTGGGATACGCTCAGTTCCATTGTAAATTAAATCTAGGTCGATCTTGTTCCTGTAACTAATTCTTTGGCCGCCCAAAGTTTATCAGTTGGAATACTCATGGCTCGATCACCTTCCGGTAGTAGTCTGACTGATCGATTCCAAGGCTTGTAGACTCGACCTTCGATTCTCAACTGTAGGGACCTCTCTCCTATCGTCTTCGTGCACGGTTCACCAAGATCGAGGGAAAAGCGGAGTCCAGGTAGAGATTGGGAGCGTTAGTGAAGACGGAGGCTTACACGGCCGTCAGCTTTGTGACAGGCTCGCCGTCCTCTGAGTAATTTTATTTTTTTTGCGATGATATTCGGTTCTCTAGACATTACGAGTCTAGATTTACAATTGTTACAGTAGTCTCTGCGGTGCAGACCTCGGAATTGACAGCCCAATTAGGAGGTGTCCGGAGCTTCCAAAAGGACCTGCAGGATATGTAATCGAAGCTAGGTTGTAGACTCGCGTCCACCACTTTATTCCGATCATGTGCGACCACCATCTGCAGGTCCTTCGGTACAGCGAGTGCAGCCGTAGCGAGTAGTTTTCATAGTGAACAGCGCTCAGCTGCAGTCGCAGATAGTGGCAGTCTTAGAAGCGAAAACTGAATCAACCAGTAACGTACCACTCCGTCGAATACTTCTGTGTAATAAAGTCGAGAGGTGCGATAATATTGAGGACTTATATTTTGAACCCACTCGGGACCCTCGCATGACTGTTTCTGTCTATTCCGCATTCCATGTCGCAGCGTTTCATCCTCCAGGGTCTGGGCCTGGAGCAGCCATGGTCACCGCTGCGCCTTGTTTTTCCTCACATGCTACCGATCTGGCTTCATATTTCATAAGCCCTAGTGTCGCGTGCTCAGAGAATATCCGGGCGATCCTCTGTTGCACTTGATTGCACTTGAATTCTATGTTCCCGAAGGGACGAAAGAGTGAACGACTCTTTTCCGGACGTGAGCTTACAAGTGATGCCAGGTGTTGGTGATCCAGAGTACACTTTCCTTGCAGCTAACTCTCGAAACGTTTGACTAGACCCTGGCCCTGGGTTCTCGTGAATTTTTTATGCATGGAGGGAGGCACTTGTTGGTGAATTAGCCTTTCTTTCTTCTCGCTTTTAGTCTCCACTTGCTGACGATCACCAGGCAGGATCCATATTGGAACTTGAACCACTCAAGCGATATGAAGAAACACCATTGATTTAAAGATAAATTTGCTATATCTTGCTCGCGATTCACGGCTGAGCTCTGAAGCCTCTCCTCTGAATGTCCTGAATTGTCAGTTCTGCAGCATGATCAATTTTTAGTTCGAGCTACTCAATTGCTGTCTGTCTCATGTGGAACATTCGACGCATGTCGTTCTTGTTATAATGATGGTTGGCTTGACTAGCTTGGCAGAAGAGGATTTTCCAGTTGTATGATTGAGACCATGATTGCTTCAGTCATGATGCTCAAGATTCTTCGCATCGCGATCTTGAGAATGTTGATGGAGTCCCGACACTCAATGCGCCTATTTCTTCGATTTTGTTTTTCCCTTCGTATGATGGATGGATGCCCGTGATCTGAAACACGTATGGACAGCAGGAAAGCAAGCTCTCTTCGACTCTTGACGTCAATCGTTGGTTGCACGTGAACTAGTCTGGTGGAGTTGGTTACATTCCTGGCGCCATCTGCAGTTTGATATTCTGGGATGACCTGTCAAGAAGACGGCTGCCTGGCCGGCCACTCAACCAGCCAATTTACTACTGGATGCCATCGTTATGGATGGTCGCATTTCTTCGAACGATCGGAACGGCCAGGTTGGTGTGGCGTCCAGACCGACAACAATCGATCAATTTCAGTAGTCTTTCAAGAATCGTTTGGAGACGAAGTATCGAACCGTTTTGTAACAAGCGAGCCCAGCTCGCTCCTTCACTGTCGTCGGTGTGTGATCTTTTCTTCTCGAATCTGACCACAAGCCTCACTGGTCGATCCCTCGGACGGAACGGCTGCACACAAAGAACTGAGATCTCTCTGTCCGTCTGGACCCGACGGTGTCCATGACGACAAGCTCTCAAGGGCCAGGACTGCCCATAATCACTTTTCTTTCTTCCTCATGGACCGAGTGCGAAGTCGAGCGTGAATTCATTGTTCTCGTGACCACGGGCGGATTGGTCAATGGGTGTGGAATATTGTCGCGAGCCTGTTCAGAAGCCCCTCCGCCCGTCGTCGTAGACGATGAGACAGCAGCCGAAACCGCTGAATGGACTCGGGTGATCAGAAATCACCAAGAGCTTAAATTAGTGTTAAGTATTGCGAATCGTGCCACAGAAACGTGTCAAGTGTTTCCTGCTTAGCGCCCGCTGAGAAGAAGATGACTCGTACGTTCTGGGAACGAGGGGCTGAGTCAAACGAATGTGCGCCAATTCGATCGTAAAGGGCGATGAGAAGGAAGACCAGAGAGAAATGTAAAAAAGACGCGTCTGCAGGATGAAGCAACCGATGGAGGCCGTGTATTGGATGGACCCGGCCATCAGTCACGCTAATCTTCATGTCGTATCTACAACGTGGTGGCGCATGGCTGGTGGTCTCCGGGCAGAAGGGAATCGGACGTGTACGGGCGCAGCATTTCGGGAGGTCTGGAATAGTTCAGAAGCTTCAATGGAATCGGCAGATTCTTCAAGAGCAGTCGAATCTGATCCACGCTGCGCACCGCAGGCAGCCGGACCAGCTCATGTTTTGCTCGCAACAAGTCCCCGAGAACTCTGATTCTCTCTACCCCACCACGTTCGCGCAAAATCTCTCGTCTGATTCAAATGTCAACCCGCGTGGCTCGCTGGCACAGCCAAGCTTCGCACCCACGTCATGAACTGTGCCCTTTTCCGGACAGAATGCTCTGTGATGACTCTTGTGGACAACGGCGACGTGGAATAAAGCGGTGGATTGCTTCCTTCGCGCAGTGTCGAGTACCAGCGAGTAACGCGAAGCCAAGAAGCCGGCCGTGAGAACGGAACAGTGGCCAGAGCATGTCGTCACCCGAGCGATGGAGCATCGCCGCAGGCAGGCAGACACCAAGCGTGCCATGAGGAAGACGAATACTGTACTGGAAGCAGCAACAGGAGAGGAGGATGAGGAGGAGGAGCAGGATGAGGAGGATCCACATGATCCAAGAGAAAACGGAACCTGCCCAACAGATGATGCGATACTTTGCTGTGCTTCGCATCTCTCCATCAAACCCTCGCAACCAAACCAAACCGACCTATAATCGTACCCGATTACATAGTGCTCCTCCTCCTCCTCATCCTCCTCCCCCGTTCGGGCGATCGTTCTCAGCTCCATTTGGGGATAGAAGCAAGTGACAAGAGAGGGAGACGTGCTCCATAGTCATCTGTCGTCTCGTCTCGTCCCGTCTCACGCCTTGTCGTCCGGCGACCAGTGCCTAACTGCTACCAAGTACTACCCGATGCTGACTGTAAGTAGGTGAGCACATTTCAAAATTGTGGTGCAAAGCGTGACTTCTTCGGATTCAAACTCGCTCGCATAACTGACATGATTTTGCTTTGTTATCCAGGTCAGTATGATAGCGCCCATACACTGTCTACAAGGTAGCTTTGACTATACATCCAATTCATGCTTTCTCACAGTACAATCGAGTTTTTCATCATAAGTACAGTACAGTACATGTAGCATTAAGACATGGCTCGGACATTGGAACTGGGAGACGCATCGGAAGTAGAACATCCCAGAAATATCCAATCTATGCTACCACTAATCTTTGGGGAACCCTGATTCTTGTTGCCATTAGAGAATGGAAAGTTGTAATTTCAGAAGGTTCTATTCACTTATGTTATGTGTGCATCAATAAGTATCATATGCTTCTTTTTTCAACTTATATTTGACAATGATCAAACTTTGTCCAGATCTTGTTTAGTGTGACATGCTCGATAACGATTTCATTACTAGCTTAATAAATTTAAGCTTATGGTTTACAAGGCGAGGTTGTGACTCGCTACATTGTTCAACATGGCAATAGAACTACCTGATTTTTGAAGGAGATAATCAAGCCATGTGGACTACACAACTAAGTACAATAATATCAAATTGGATTAACATGAACATCAAACCTACATTTGATACATTCTGAATATCGATTTTTAGTTGTTGTTTAATTCTATGTAAGCAAATGTAAGTTTTTATACTAAAGTGTGCTACTAGAGTTGCATGATAAGTATGAATAGCTCTCAAATATATTTTTCTTTTGGTGATTGGAACTCTTTGCAAAACTTGAGTATCATAAAAAAAACTGACAAAAATAAAAATGTATCCATGATAACCATACAGCAGAAACAATAGTTCCAAGACTTGATTCATATCTACAAGTCGGCTTTTGGAAAAACACATAGATACCTTATTCAAATCCCATATCTTGTGTTATTGAGAGCTATGATTCGTCTAAGTAACTATAGTGTCGTGCGAATACATATCGTCATACACTCTATATCGCTGACATGCTACTCACATACACATACACACATATAAGGCGCGAGAGAGTACACACTCAAATGTCACAACTGAAAGGTACGGGATTTCCCCACTGGAAACTCGTCGGTCTGATTACCTTACTGGCAAGAAACTGTCACCGTCAAAAACATAGTCAAGCCAAACCCACTCCACACTCGGAGAGTACAGGTCGATGTTCACGGGCACTACTCCCAACTCGTTAGGTTCGTTAGGCTCGACTCGAAGAACTGACGTTCTTCGAGTCGCCTTCTTACCTATACCCTACGACCTGAAACCCTATGCGACTACTATTTTTAATAATAGACTGAATCACATGACAGCTGTCGTGCGAATACATATCGCCATACACTCTACATCGCTGACATGCTACTCCCATACACATACACACATATAAGGCGCGAGAGAGTACACACTCAAATGTCATAACTCGCCCCCCTAGCTGGCGGTCAGGTCCCTCTAACTCCCAGATAGCCCAATCTACGATTACATGTTATACACCTTCGTGGGTGCGTGAATCAGTAGGTCGGGTGCTATGTCGCCTCATCGTTAGTGGCTTATCTGCAATTCATAACATGTGAGAATCAAGTCATCTACCCCTCTGAAGTACATCGAGTACAAACCCATCGTCCAGCCGGAATAACATCGATAGGTGGAGTCATACACGACATGTGCCATCCCCTAGAACACCTATCACACACCAACATACGGGCCGCCTGACGAGCTGACCCACACAGCATGCACCTCAAGCCAACACGTATTATTGCTAAGCTTGGGTCCATAGTGCCATCTACGTTTAGGAGGTGGCATGGTGCACAATTACGCACATGATACTTCTAAACAACTCCGTCACGACCCTCCAATAGAAGAACTCCAGAAGATAACACATCTCGCACTCGCAAGATTGTGCGTCCCGCCGTCAAATCCAATGTCGTCAGTGCAGTCTGCTGTAGATAGACGTAGTCTTTCACATGGAATCTAAGAACCGATGGTCGATAACCTCCTCCTCGAATGGTTGCATATCGCAACGTATCTCTATGTTGAGCAATCGCAAGATTCTCACTCACTGCAGGCATAACTCTTCAAAAGAGCTGTGCACGTTGAGAACACACTCTCACCCACATGTTCGAGTCATCAAGGTTCACCACCTCGCTAGACTCACGATGAATCGATGTTGGCAAGTCTAGATCTCGGCCCTACAATAGAAAATATGGTGAGAAGTAAGCCAAGGATGCCTGACGACTGAACCGATATCCCATGGCCAACCATGGTAACTGAATATCCCAGTCCCCAAAATAACCTTTCTGCAGGCCATACTTGCGCAATGCCCTCTTCATCGTCTGTACAACACGTTTAGCTAAACCATCCGCCTCTACAGATCTCGCGACGTGGTCCAATGATCAATCAATGCCTTGTCACACAAGACCTGAAACTCCGTCCCCTGATCGATCAACAACTCAGCTAGTGCACCATAGTGACTAAGTACGCTGTCAAGAAAAGCATATGCTACTCCCTCACTTGCCTTGTCAGGTAATGCCTCAATCCACTCAGGTAACTCAATCCACTTGGAGAAATGCTCTACCATGACCAACACATACCGATGATGTCGTATAGTCAAAGGTAGTGGTCCAACAAAGTCCAAACTCCAACGGTAACCCAACCCCATGATGGATAATGGATGTAACTCTGGTGTCGGGGCATTGAACGATGCCCTCATCCGATCACAAACTATGCAACGTGATATTAACTGCTGTACCTGAGTATGCATACCACGCCACCAATAGTGACCAAGGAGTAAGATGTATGTACACTTCACTCCAAAATGTCCCAACTCCTCATGAGCATGCCTCACAATGCGTGCTCTCTTAGCTGGATGTGGTACTACTCGTACCCTACCCTCTTCCCACACTCGGAGAACATGTGATCCCTCCAATCGATATGTCTTCGCCCGTTAGAGAACACGATCTCGCTCCTTAGCACCCACTGTGCTTGGCACCATGCTGGTCCGTAGGAACTCCAACACCAATGCATCATCGTGAACATCAGGTTGATCCACACCACCATCCTCAACCTCAGGATCTGAAGATTGACCATCTACTCTCTGACTAGAGTAAGATGTCGGATGATACTCTTTGCTAGAGTTTCCACGTAACCAACACATGAAGACAGATGCATGCGAACCAGGCACCATCTCCTCATCAACCTCACCATGCCATCTAGCTCCAGTGTCATCTTCCTGGCTAGTGCATGGGTTCCGACTCAAACCATCTGCATCCAGGTTCACAACTCGAGGTCTATGCACTACCTGAAAGTCGTACTCTTGTAAGATGAGAGCCCATCATGCAAGCTTTCCTATGAGCTTGTCGGACTCCATCAACCACTTGAGCGGCTGATGATCAGTAACAAGGGTGAACTGCGTACCAAACAAATAACACCTGAAGTGTGCCACAGCCCACACCACTGCCAAGCACTCTCCCTCGTACGAACTATACCGCGACTCCGCTGCATTGTTCGAACGACTAGGGTACGCAACCACAAACTCCTTGCCCTCATCATCACGCTGCGTCAACACCGCAATGCAACCTCCGAGCTGACTCTCACTCAAGTTTACCTCTGATGGCTTTGCGGTAGTGCATCATGGTTCTAAAAAAATAGGATTCATCCTCACACTCATAACTCAAACACACACTCACTCAAGGTAGCACTCCAACTCACACACATCGACACTCCAAGGTACAGAAAATTGGTCACTCTTTCATATATGAAACAAGTCCTCACACATGACTCTCCAAACTCACTTGAGAGTTGCTACTCTACCTCTCTATTTATACTACTTGAGAAGTTATCATAGTAACATGTGGTAATTCCTCCTAACTTACTATTACCAAGGTAAGTTTGACTAACCCTCTCTAAGTGGCAACATGCCATTTGCCTACCTAAACCTTGTAGAAGTTTCGCAATCCAAGGTTGAGGTGGCGACATGTCATTGGAAGCTTTTAAACTTCTACAAGCTTCTTAACCACTGAGTCAACATTAGACTTAGTCTAGCTAATCATCTTTAATATATTGAGTCAAATCAATCAAATCCAAGCTTCTAGTCAAATATCTAATCCATTGGAATCGAGAACTTTGTAAAAGACAAAATAGAAATTCTCACTCCTTTCTAGAAGACAAAATAGAAGTGCTCACTATACTCTTCTAGAACTCCGCTAATTTTTCCGCCAACTATAGACATCATAGCTAAACTTAGTCATGACTAGATAAACTTAGTTATAACTAACTAGTTTAGTCATAACTAGCTAGACTTAGCTATGTCTTGGCTAATTATCCCTAATCACTTGACCACTTCTAAGACTTAGTACATATGTGCAACACCCGGTCTTACAGCTCCAAGTCCCAACATACTTCAATCAGTGTGCAACTAGTATGGACGACCTCTCATAGGTCTCTTCAAGAAATAAGCGGCCACCAACCTTGCCTTGAGCTCAACAAAAGCTCTCTCCTGCTCATCTCCCCATTGTCATTCCTGATCTGACTTCAGCAACTGGTTCAAATGCTTGGCTATAGCACTAAATCCCTTCACATACCTCCGATAGTAGTTCATCAAATCCATGAATGCACAAACTCTACTCACATCCGTGGGACGAGGAATGCGTGCAATAGCCTCCACCTTTGCTTGTGAACTCCTAAACCACCTGGATATATCACATGACCCAAGTATTCAATCTTCTCCTGGAAGTACTTACACTTCCCGGGATGTAACCTCAAACCATGAGCCCTCAACCGCTCAAACACAATCTGCAAATGTATCTGGTGTTGCTCCACAATGTCACTAAACACCAAGGTATCATCAATGTAACATCTGCCAAAATCCAGCCCCGCCACGATTCTGTCCATAACCCTCTGAAACTTGTCAGGTGCATTCTTCATCCCAAAGGGTAAGAATCGCCACTGATTCAAACAATCCTTGCCGTGGGAGTTGACGCCCCAAAACGCTCTCTTGGCCTTGTCCTCCTCCCTAATTGGCAACTGATGGTAACTTGCCCGCAGATCCAAAGTACTAAAAATCCTCGCATGTCCCACCATATCAAAGATCTCCTCAGCTGTAGGCATGGCATACTTATCAAACTTCGTCTGCCGATTGATAGTACAGTAGTCTCCACACATGCGCCTATCCGTGTAGTTGCCATGTACACCGGCATGACAGTGGCTGACGCATACTCATGTGGTGCCTAGTTTTTTCATTTTTCTTTAAAATTCATTAAAACTAAAAGATATTTGTTTAGAAAGTAGTTGTTAGAGTTAGAATGAGCAGCTACTTAGGAGAAATGATAGAATT